AAGGTTAAAGGTCACTGTGACAACAGGTTTTTGGCCATAACTGAAGAAAGAAATTCATGCACTAATTATGACACAATTTAACTCAAATATCTATAGGGATAAATATTGATGACATTTCATATCCAAAAGGTCAAAGGTCACCTTTTACTGTGACATCATAATGTTCTGTTAAATCACTCATGCTGTAGCTCAGGGGAGATTGTGACTATATTTCCTGTAACTTGGCTGGTTGACGGAGTGTGTAAAATGTATTTGTCTTGATGATAAAGGATGTGATACACAGTTTATCTCTTGGCAGTACGTGGACATCCACATCATTACTGTGCATACTGGAGGATGCAGAAGAATGCCTGGAGGTTCCGATCACTAACAGCTGACCAAACAGTGATGAGCACACACGCATATATTCATGCTGACTTTTATTTTTACCACAGGCCCATGCCAGGATTTGGGGGCTCAAATAGCCTTACTATTTGTGTTATGCATACTAAAGTCATACACAAGCAGTCCATCTGGTGACATGTCAGGACAAAGTGTCTGTGTTTAACTGTTGACAGTCTCTGGTTGGTGACTTCAGCTTCTGTCCCACATCATAAAATAGACCTGAACATTTGGGGTCTCTAACTCTACAAGTACAGCATCGTGACTGAAGGCAGGTGTGTGTATGAAGTATTGTGTGACTGTGTCTATAGGCAACTATATTTATAGCCGGGACAGAGCTGGGAGGGACGGACAGTCTCTTTTTGAAAGCATTCATGTTTGTGTTTGTGTTTACACTTATTTGTAAACACAAAGGGATTTATTTATTTATTTGTAAACACAAAGGGATAGAGAAAAGTGGTTTGAAAATACAACTTAAGCTTGGGAGAGCGGTGTACTGAGAGTGGTCGTTGGACACTTGGTTCAGCCCCTGAATCCTAATGTTGGACAAATGTATTGACAGGTACCTCAACACGCAGGGCACTTTCAGTACCTGGATAGTTCACTCTAAACGGTCAAGATTGAGTGTAAAACGATGGACACTTCTCACCCTCAGTAGTCAGCGTCTTGGTGATGTAGTGGAAGGGGAGGGACCAACACTGTATTTTCAATTTTTCAATGGCGGCTGAGGAAAGCGGACACGTTTTCGGTGCTGATGGCGGCAGTAAAACACAAATTTTTAAATGCCCAATAAGTAACTTCTGCCACTAGGGGTCTCTCAATCAAATCACACTGACACATGCACATAGAGGATATGATGTCATGGACAGGCGACCAAATGACACGTACCGTTACCATGACTAAAATCACAGATTCCTCTGGTTTGAGAATTGATGGAAACCTTTGAGATATGGTGAGCAGTAGCCTGGCTGTTCACAAAGTCACTAGATTTGTCGACTGTACTGCAGACTGCATCATTCATTCTTTTCTTTAAGTTATTTTTTGGGTAGTTTTTTGGGACAGTGAGAGAGTGACAGAAGAGAGAGAGAGGGGATGACATCCTGCAAAGGACCAGGGCTGGATTTGAACCCGGGCTGCTGAGCCTAAGTGGTATGCCCTCCTGCATCATTCGTTCTGAAAGGTCATGATTTCACTCTGGCTTACTGCCATTGGAAGTGCTGGAGCGAGGTCAACTGAGTCCCTTGAAGCCCTGAAGGAAGACAACGCTTTGGTCCTGACAGGTCTGGTGGTTTCAGTGATAATGTTACAGCCTTTGATGTTTTTCCCAACCATGGCTTGATTTTCCATTTGTGGCAAATAATACTTAAATGACAAAATTTTCTGAAAAAAAACACTTACTCCATTAGATGCTCACTATGTGCTCCATTAGTCAGTCACATAATGTTCCCGAAACAAACCTTAGTGGAAAAGTCACAATGTTAGTTTCTATTTGCTTCTTGCAACAAGTCAAGCTAACAAATGTCCATGTCTGAAACCATTCCCTTGTTCCCTCATGTTCTCTCACAGTGAGTCCTGCCCAAATCACAAAAACATACGTGGGCAGGAGCAACTTCTGGTTTTCTGTTTGTGTTTGTGTAATATTTCATGTGTTGATGAATGTTCCTGCTCTGGACTTAGAGGACTCATTCTCTGAAATGACTGTTTAACAGAATCTACTGAAGATATTACTGAGGTTTTCAGCCCAGTAGTATGGTCAAAGTCAAGACTGATAAGACGGGAAAGGAGTGGTGAGAGGAAGTGGAGGATGATGACGCTGGTCTTGAAGAACTTGAAGAATTTGGGAATACTTGAGGAAGTGATGTCATTTCAGAGGATCAATATAAGGACACTGCAGTGTTTTTCAAAGGGTAAATCAGTGAATCACCAGGGGCAGAAAGATGCTGTTGCGCTGCTCTCTGTAGGTTGAAACTTTCAACCTCTTCTGGCTGCCTCAGTCTCTGCTGTGACAGTAGCTGGTTTCTATCAGCTGTCAAAGTAACAACTGTAGAGAGCAGACATCCACCAAGGTCAAACAACCCTACATATGTCTGTCAGAGCCAGATTATTACCTGGATCTGCACCAAACTGTACAAACTCTTAACACCATTAATGTGTCTGATAGTTTTTCAAGATCCAAACATTATTTCCTGAGGAACCTTTCCTCAACAATGTTTAGTAATTGGATGCACTCCTTTAACCGGATCCACACCAAAAATTGGCTCTTCTTTGGTCCATTCCCCTTCCCTCCACCAAGTTTGGTACAAAATGCAAAGTGTTTACTCGTTTCAGCTCTTTATCTGTTCTCTTCTCTCCTCTTTTCTGTGCTCTCACAAACAGTATTTTCATGCAGCTGAATTCACAATAAAGCTGTTGACATGTTTTTCTGTGTCATGACAACAGGACAAGTTTGAAACAGTGTCTGAAATGTGGTCCATTCAGACTACATGTGTGGTCAGCTGAATGAGAGATGTAGAGGTGTGTCTGCTCTCACTTGCGGGGGAGTACAGAAGACTCTTTTCTACAGAAATCAGACAGGGTTTGTCCAAAATATCTTGTTGGCAACACTGCTTGTAAACACCCATGGTTACGTAATAGAACCTGTTTGCGCCAAAACAGCCAATGGGGAAATTCCAACACTTGGCTAGCCAACCAATGGTGCAACTTTATCACTCACTCAGTCAGCTACATTTGTGCTTATAGGACTGGGCCTGTGGTTATGGTCCAGCCAAAAACACCTGCTTTGACAGTTTACCACAAGTTTAAATAAATACGTCAAATTTTTGGCAGATTGACCAAAAAATGCTGATAGTTCATTTATGGCTAGGTTTGGTATCCAACAGGAAATATTTTAATTTCTATGGGTACACAGTCCAGATGATGAGTACTGGGACACGATCATGCACAAGAGGAAGGATTGTTGTTGACGGTTAGTATAGTTGCTCGTCAACATTGTCTGCTGGTGCAAGCGGATAATGTTCATGTTATTTCTTTAAGTCAGATGCTGATTATTCTTATTATATTGAAAAATATTTCAAAGACTTTGTCTCCTGAGGAGGCAAAGCGACAGTCTGGACCAGAGGTGTCAGACAGAGAACCTAGAACCTGAATAGAACACACATGGGAGAGCTGAAGAGTCTGACCAGTGTGATTAGCTATCCAGTCAATTAGGTTTGAATGTTTCCAGGCCTCACCCAGAGCTGCTGTGGCAGCTGAAGCAGCAGGAGAGGGTCAGGAAGGGAGAGAAGCTAATGAAGAGAGAGATGAAGGAGTGTAGGAGAAGGAGGAGGAGGAGACAGCCAACAGGCTGCTGTTGGAGAGGAAGCAACAGGTGAGACAGACAGCAAATACAGCCTGAGCTGTAGATATTATTTAATATATGTGCAGCAGATCACCTTATATATGCTATTATTTGATAAGAAGCCCCCGAACCACTGCCAAAAGGTTCTCGTGCAGCAAACAGCAGCAGCAGGGCACTGTGGTCTGTTTGTATTGTCGTTGATTCCACCCCCTTTGTGCCCCCTTAATAGGGCCCCTACTGTTCTGACTGGACTTGTCTGCTGGTATAGTGCCAGACTGTCTGATGGATTTCTGTTTCCCTCACTCCCTAGATCAGAGCCTTTCTGAAACACATTTAAAGTCTAGAGGAGATGTGACATCATCATGTCAGTCTCTCTCTCTCTCTCTCTCTCTCTCTCTCTCTCTCTCTCTCCATATAGCCTATGATTGGCTGTATCGGTATCTAGGTGTATCTGGGTGGTGCACATTTTGAAGTGTTGCATCAGAAAAGGTTGATGGAAATCAATTGTGCAAAAAGTTTTACATTCACTTGGACTTGGCTTTTCTGAATAAGTTTTGACGTAGTAAACATTTAACTCCTGTTACACCCACACAAAACACATTTCTATTTCTTCACCTCTGGACATAATGAAACTTGGCCAGTACTAGTTGACATGAAAGAATAATTACAACTTGTCCTGGACCGCTCTCTCCATTTTTCTCTCACAGATCGCCAAGGTGACTAGTTCTGTTTCTTCTTTCTCTTCAAGGTTTTTGGTGTTTGGCAAACAACCGGTTTTGTTTCTGGTTCCTTGTGTAACATAGCCTATACCGCCACCTTCTGACAACACTATGCAGCCTAGTTGATCCGCTTGACAGTTATTTGGAAACACAGCTACTTTCTTCTTCCCATCACTTTGACAGAACTGCAGTCTGGTTTCTGTTTCTGAGTCTTACCAGGGGCCTACATCTTGTGGTGAATTCTCTGAGGTTCTGGTCTTGAAGTAGGATCTGTACGATGTCCGCCTACATCCCAGAGAGTGTTCCTGACCCGCAGTGCAGTCACAAAGAACTTTCTCTTCATGCTAATCATTTTCATCCACAGGAAATGTGCTCCTCAGTCCATCAATTTTTCTGATTGAACCCAACTCAAATTGAATGTGCTGAAGATTAGAGCCCTAATTATGCAAATACCTACAGCGTTGACTGTATATCTATGTCATAGATTTGTTAGTTTGTGTTGCTATTTAAATTTAAGATGATGAATTTATTGTATTTGACTATGTTTTCCTCTCCCCCTCCAGGATCCGGCCCATTCCCATGCACCCAGTACAGAACCATCAGTACATTATAAAGCCCAAATACTACCACACACACACCACACAGACCCATGTCCAGTCCCAACCAGAGAGACCGATCCCCCTGAGAGTGGGACACAACCCCTTCCATGGTGAGTGGGAAACTCTACATAATGATTTTGAAGATATTTTCCAGTACATTTCCTTACATTTGTCCAGTTTCCAGTTCCCTGCGGTTCTCAAAAATCAGCTTCCAGAGACTCGATCCATCACAGTCATGTTGATTGTGACACTGCCAAATGCTCACTTTTCAGTTCAGTTCACACTAACATCACTGTGCAAAAATAATTTTAATAGTACTAAAGTGGACATGATGTTCACTGTGATGGTTTACACGTGTCATCACGTCTCTGCAGGTTGATTTTTGTACAGGAGTAATTTGAAAACCAGTGGATTCCTGTGATGGAGAAAGGCACGTTAAAAAATCTAAAGCAACACTTGTTGAAAAGTGTTCAGCAGTAATTTAAACTAAAAGCTACATACATACATTTTTAGTTTAAAGATTTTGGTTCTTTAGTGAAGGTAGTTTCAGAAACAGTAATTTAAAGGAGCTAGGCTATTTGTAAGTTTTACTATTGCTACATAGCTAACATTAGCTTTAACAGCTGTTTACTGACCAGTCTTGCCAAGACTTTCAGCCTTATAACTTTCAGAGGTTATAATATGTCCTCTGAGCAGCTACTTCTTCAGGGCAGATTGGACGCTACAGTTACTCAGTATCGGAAAATAAGGAGACAGACTGACTGAGCCAGAGCTAGCTGGTTAGCATGCTGACTTCAGTAGAAGAGATGAAGTGAAAGAAATAGAAGCAAAACAAGAGTTAACATTGGTGTTTGTTTCCAACTCTTGAGACAGCTGTTGGTGAGTAAAGGAATAAAGTTTGATACAGAACTCACAATGTTTCTTCCAGATTGGTAAGTTAACAGCTGTTAATGGTATTGTTAGCGATGTAGCAATAGCAAAACTTACAAATAGCTCCTTTAAAGTTTTAGAGACTCACACTATAATGTTCAATCACCAGAGATAAAACCAGTCAGTCTGTGGTTCAGGGGCCGGCTCCATTATAACAGAGGTAGATTACTGTAATGACCCAATGTTTGCCTGATCTTAAAAGGCCAAACAAGCTAAATCAAGAAAACAATGACCCAATTTAAACCACGTGTATTAGCTGTGGGAAAGTCCATGAAAGCTTCATATGTCAAAATGAGTTCAGGGACTTGCAATGGAGGAGATGTGAAGGTTTATTACTAATTTTGTGAACTTTCATTTCAAGAGACACATGGGTAAACTCTGTGAGTAGCTTACAATGAAATTCAAGTAATGATAAGAAGAAATCATAATCTCTTTTTCCACAAAACATCATATTTTAGTTTTAAGGTTTGATTCTGCTTTGGAAACCAATCATTTGGCCAAGTGAGAAATCCTGGGACTCCCTGGAAAGGGTTCTTTATTCTTGGGATGAAATAGTGGTGTCCTCGGGGGAGAACCCCTCACTTTGCTGAAACAACAAGAGCCTCGATAGAAATGAACAAGTGCATCTGAACACCTTTTACCTTTTAGACCCTTCACGTTTTGTATTTTCTATCCATTTTCAATTTTTTGCATTCACATTTTTATGAGACACTTCATATCAGAGCAGCTCAATCCGTTTAGACAGAAAAGAGAAAGTTTTCTGGACCAACGTTGGCAGGTGGTCAAACTCCTACAGATCAACAACAGCCATAATTCACAAGCTGGTGGTTGGTTATTGTGGTTTGTCATAAATTCAAGGCCAGAATCCAGCGTCAGACTCTCCAGTACGCGTCTATGAATAAGTCAATATTTTTCTGTGCAGACTACACTTTGAGTGGTTGTGCCTCTGGCCTGAGGGATATTAATGGGAGGTCAGCAGACAGAACAGTGCTGGTGTTTGGCTGCGCAGACCCAGACCTGGCCACATTGAGCCAGACCCAGTTTCAAAATAACCTCCTCTGCTCAGTTTAATTTCAGCCAGCAGTATGTAAATGCCAGAGAAATGGCCAGACATCAAAGGTGCAGAAGGAAATGGGACAAACACATATAGAGAGGGGAGAGGGAGTCATTCATGTTCAGCACATTTGTCGGAAAACCAGAGAGAATTACTGGTTTTATATATATGGCCTCTGGACTTATTGTAAGTCCTGTATATGGTCTACAAAGAGTGTTTTATACTGAACCAGTACTGAGACAGAGAGGATTCATCGTAGTGTGACAAAAATATCTAATTGCAATTTTTGACCAAATTTCTGATTGTGATTGCAATTTAAATTTGACTGTGGTTTTTCCAGGTTTTATTTTTTCAGTCAGAGAAGAAATAAAACATTGTAAAATATATATGAATATAAGCTTTAGTAGCTTTTTACTGAATCTGAATCTGATTTCAAACCCACTTTTAAATCGCTTATCTGAGCCATTTAGGCCTGGTTTACAGTTTTCATATAAATAAAATTCAGACGAGACACTTTCATTTACTCTTACTTATGTTTTTATGAACCACAAGTGAGACAAAATTTTCTGTCTTCATCAGCAGCTCAGTGTGTCTTGTATTTGATCATACTCATATAGGGACTGTGTTGTTATAATAATAATAATAATAATAATCACTGTCATTTAGTGTAATGTCAGCTGCTGTTGTCACGAGGACAGAGGAGACTGAATGTAGTAAGGAAATCAGACAATGAGTGGATATGTCCACACCCTGCTGACTGACAGAGTTGCACTGTGGTGGAGTAAAAGTTAAATATGTAAACTTCAGTCAAACCCAAACTCTAGAGGTGGACTAAGCAATCAGATTTAAATCCCTTTTGAAAACTTACTGGATGCATTTACACCTAGAGACCAGATAGCCATCGATCCGCCCAGTGTGAATGGGATCATTTCAACGTTAGCATGTAACTAAAGTTTAGGCAGATCCAGACTCCTTGTGACTGAGTCCTGGTTCTTAATGTAACAATGAGCCTGAAGAATTTGTCTTCTGTCATTGTCTCTGTTGATATTTTAAGAGCGAGGAGTGGTGGAAGGAGGAGGAGCTGAACAAAGGACCTCCCTGTAGAGGCCCAGCCCATGAACCAGAGTGTAATACTGTGGAAACCACTGGATAATTGAATGAATAAGCAGGTGTAAGGTACTCAGTGAGCGTATGATCCTATATTACATGAATTTCAATAATATATCAATGATGTACTGAACGTTCCTTTCCCTTTGTACTAGATAGTTGAAAAGAATCAGAGCAGTGCACTCTGACTGTGACTTCACTGATAAAAGCTGGAGACTTTAAGTAATAATGACAAACTCCTTGTGTGACACAATTTGCAGCATAAATTTTAGCTTCATGTTATTTGACTCATGAATCCTAAATGTTAACTGTTGACAGGAAAGAGCACCAAATACCCACAAACCCCTACAATGCACCCATACTGTCGACATCATCTGTAACATTTTCCCTCGTCAAACAGGAGACCTGAACAGTCTTTCAACCTCTGTTTATCCATCCTAGTGTTGGAGGTGGAGTTATTGAGTTCATACATGTTTCCTTCATTGTTTACCACTTAGAGCAAAGTTGTGTGTCTACAAATAGCATTTCAGGCCTTTGAGGCTAAACTAATGTGAATAGCATGGCTGGCTTTTGGGCAGCGTGCAGCCAGTGCTTCAATGACATGTTTGCACTAAAACAAGAAGCCCACAGCCTTTCTGTCAGCCCCTTCCCATGTGACAAACAACCTGTCAGCAACTGGCTTTGGTGCCACATCTGGGAAAGTTATTCCCCATCTCCCCTCAGCTCTCCCTCAGCTCCCTCACACGGCCCAAACACCCTCTGAAGAACGGCCATGGTCTCAGCCCTCACTGAAGGTGTGGGCAGAGAGGATCATCTTACCATCACCACAGTGACCACTCAGAGTCGGGACTTCAGCACCTCAACTTGTTCTAAGGGGCAGGGAGAAAGGAAATAGTCACTTCACTATAAGACCAGTTCATTTTTAGAGACCAACGTGTTTCAGCTTTTGGCCGTCCTGAACTCTACCTCTGAGACTGAGAAGTTGTTGTTCATGCCTCCATCTTTCTGAGAAAACTGACTTTGTCGCCTCTTTGGCTTGACTTATTCACCTCTATGTCAATGACTTGATGAAGCCAAAAGCTTAAATACCTACAACACTGTCGGACTTATGATGGACAGTTTAAAAAACAGGATCAAAATTGATGCTGCAGAACCAGAGATACATTCTTTTTTTTTTACTTCATAGCTGTGTCCTAATTCAGTGCCACATCCTCCTACAAAGGTGTGGACCTTCGTAACCGTCGTAGATTGCGAAGGCCGAACCGAAATGAGACTTCCTGGTCTACGGAGGATTTTCGTTGCACATCACCAGCTGTGCCCTTACCATTGCATCGCAGAGCACAGCACCTGTTGCCTAGAAACCGTGACATGTAACCTTTTTTTCACAAAGACTTGAGATTGTACTATTAGCTGTTGAACTGAGCCGTAACAGAGTAATCCTCTCTGTCAGCATTGTTTGCTTTCATTACTGGCGTGCAATGAATCTTGGGACAGTCTGGACTGAGATTGTCGTGTGTGGTAATGACAGACCACATTCCTTGGAGGAAAACAGTGGCTGAGAAGGCGCTTAATGCTGAATGATTGAGTTCAAATAGATGGAGCAAACCCAGAAGACTCTGAAGGTAGCATTAATGACTGAATCTGATTCAGGAGGTCATGGGTAGACAGTGGATGTCGATGAGCTGCAGGGTGACATGTGACCTTTTGGGTTGATTGAAGACCAGACGGGTCTTCAGCCCCAACTGAAGCTGACTCAAGTAACATCACTCGAGGACATTTATCAGACTCCAAACACAAGGCTTTATAATATATATATATATATANAAGACTTGAGATTGTACTATTAGCTGCTGAACTGAGCCGTAACAGAGTAATCCTCTCTGTCAGCATTGTTTGCTTTCATTACTGGCGTGCAATGAATCTTGGGACAGTCTGGACTGAGATTGTCGTGTGTGGTAATGACAGACCACATTCCTTGGAGGAAAACAGTGGCTGAGAAGGCGCTTAATGCTGAATGATTGAGTTCAAATAGATGGAGCAAACCCAGAAGACTCTGAAGGTAGCATTAATGACTGAATCTGATTCAGGAGGTCATGGGTAGACAGTGGATGTCGATGAGCTGCAGGGTGACATGTGACCTTTTGGGTTGATTGAAGACCAGACGGGTCTTCAGCCCCAACTGAAGCTGACTCAAGTAACATCACTCGAGGACATTTATCAGACTCCAAACACAAGGCTTTATAATATATATATATATATATATATATATTATATATATGTAGTGTTTCAAATATGACATAATACTCCCCAGCAACAGTAAACAGATGTGTAAAATGTGTATAGTTGGTGCCATTCTCCAACAAAGGAAAAGGGATAAAGATATCATGTTGTGTGTTGCACATAAAATCCGTTTCAAAAAAACCAGTCAGCTACTTGATGATCAAGAAAACGTATCTGTTAATTTTCTGTAAGTAGCAGCCAAGAGGTGCAAATGACCCGTCTTCTCCCTCTTACTCAGTCCTGGTTTCAGTCTCTCCTCTGACGCCTCTTTTATTCTCCCCCCTGGCTCAGATAAATAAACCCACTGTGGACCAATGAAAAACATCAGACAGACAGAAGTGACCCCCTGACTTCAGTAGTGACTCTACCATCTCCCTGCAGCCTGGCTGAACCTCCCCCTGAACATTTTCTTCCCTCAGGTTGATTGATGTCTGTGTTGTGTCTGAGATGCTCTGCTGACTCTCTTTCCATATGCTCCACACAACCAGAGAAATCTGCCAGCAACGTGTGTGTACTGACAGAGGCACAGAGTTGGAGGAGGAGGGAGGGTTTAGAGGATCAAGACATGTTTTATCATGGCTGTCCAGGGAGCTCTGCTCAGAGCCTTGTCAGGGCCGGTTTGACATGGTGGAACTGATTGTTTTATGGTGAAGAGAAGTTAAGGCTGGTTTCATTTTTACTACCCTGAGATTGTTGTCAGCAGAACAGCAGCAGCTTTGGTCAATGGGTCAAACACATACAATGACCGTCTTTACTTTTATCTGACAAGCCAAACTTTGTGGCTGAATGAACTATGACATGGTTAGTTTCTTTAAAGGAGTTATTTGTAAATTTTGCTATTGGTACATAGCTAACATTAGCATTAACAGCTGTTTTCTGACCTTCAGTCATCATTGTCTTTACAAGACATGAGCTTTACAATACGTCCTTTGAGCAGCACTACTTTGTTAAGGACAGACTGGATGCTACAGTGCCTCGGTATCAGAAAATGAGAAGTCGGGGTGCCCCGGTGGCTCAACTGGTAGTGCGTGTACCACTTAGGCTCTGTCCTTACCACAGCGGCCATGGGTTCGAGTCTGACCCATGGTCCTTTGCTGCATGTCGTCCCCTCTCTCTCCCCAACTTTCCTGTCACTCTCTCTGTCACTACCCAAATAAAGGCAAAAACTGCCCAAAAAAATAACTTTAAAAAAAAGTTAAAGAAAATGAGAAGACAGGCCGACCCAGGCTGGAGCTAGCTGGTTAGCATGCTAACTTCAGGAAACGTTGTGAGTGCAGCATCAAATATATTTCCTTTACTCACCAACAGCTGTCTTCAGAGGTGGAAGCAAACACCAATGTTAACTCTTGTCTCTACTTCTGTTGAAGTTAGCATGCTAACCAGCTAGCTGCAGCCCGACTCACTTCACCACCACCCACTCCTAGCAAGAAACCATGTTCAGCAACAGTGAAAAGTTACAAATATAACCTTTGAACCATGACCAGGATTTTCTACAGACCTTAAAGTGGTACTCCAGCAATATACATGTCACTCCCATAAAGTTGGGGAACTCACAGGAGACAGATTTAAAAAAAAAGACAACATTGAAACATCAGAGATCGATGTAGTCTCTACTATGAGTTAAGATCCAAAAACGCTGGATCGTACATCTCCCATAATGCAACTGGATGTATGTAGTCCTGACCATAATTTTACCACTGTGTTAAAGCTTTAACAGCATCAGTAACCATGAATAACTTAGATTTAGCTGTCGTCTAATGTAACAGTCAGTGTGTGAGTGTATGTTCTGAAACTTTTCTTTACGTTTGTGGTTTGTACGACTGAAGACATCAGAACCTCGTCACATCTTTCCCTCCTTCATTTCTTTTTGGAAATAATCTTCCCTCTAAAGGGACTCAGACAGACCATGTTTAGACTTCAAATCCTGGACCTCCATATATGATCTTGGCAGCTTTTCTCAAACCTCCTTTCCATTAGCCCTCAGTTGTAATCACTACATCATATTAGGTCCCCTGTGGATGCGTAGGTAGCCTGGGACATGTTAATCAGTGGTTTTCCTTCCTCTCAGGTTCAGAACACATTCCTCTGGCTGCTCCGTTCCACTCGGAGCATCTGTGCTCTTCAGTGTGAACAGCTGACAGCCTCAGACGCAGCACTGAGAGTTGGAGACAGGGGCTTGGATCTGACACAGCCCAGAGGGGAAGGCTCAGAGAAGAGAAGAAAGCAGAGGTTAAATGTACCTGAAGAGATGTATGTGAGGCATCACTGCACAGCATGTAGACAGATTAACTGTGACAGGATGTTTGTACTCTTCACTCCTCTCTCCTTCCTGTCAGTCAGTACTGAGGGCTGAGATTATGAGGGTGGGGAATAAAACTCAGCAGACAGGGGTAGATAAGCTCCTGTGCAGCAGATAGCTGCAATAATCTTTCAAATGTGGATATAAGCACCAAAACAGGTGTGTTTGTCCCTCTGGGCCCATTAATTTGAAAAATCCCATGAGCCACTTGAAATTTCCAATTTTCAAGATGGCTGCCATTTCTGGCATAGAAAACATATTTTACCACAGAACTTTACCCACAGATTTCACTGATTTGGTAATGTAATCCTGTTTTAGACTATGAGGATGTGTCACATTTACAACTCTTAAATTTCCTCAGAGCTTTATTTGTGCAGTGTCTAATATGTAACGTGAAAAATTCTGCATAAAACACAATGTATTTGTAAACCATTTATTATGAATGATGAACCAAAAGTTCTGTAAGAGTCGACAGTCTACTTGATTATACCACCAGGCTAACTTGCTAGCGCTAGGCTAGTTAGCGAGCTTTTTTGTGAGTAATATTTTTGCTGAAATATACTTTCATTTTTTACAGTGCACTAAATTTCACTTTCTATATTGTAAAAATGTTTGATCTAACACCAGGATCATTCATATGAGAAAATAGTGGATGAACTTATTGCAAAAAAGAACATTTCCTTGCCAGAAACAGCAGCCACCTTAAATTTTGAAGTGGCTAACATGTTTTATCTAAAGAGTAATACCCGAGGAGGATTTGTGCCAAGTTCAGTTCTTGTATACACATTTGAAAGATTTCCCTGAAATATGCAGTTATCTGCTGCTTTACCTGTCTTACAGCACTTCTAAATGCTGCTGGGATTTCTTCCTAATTTGCTAAAACTGAAGAGTAAAAAGTAAAGAGGAGGAAAGAATGAGAAGAAAAGTGCAGAGGACGGAGTGCAGGCTGAGAGCTGAAGGTGCCATGCCTGCTGTGTGTCTATGTTGGAAGAAAGCTGGGTATCCACCTCTCAGAGACTTACAGTGTGATGAAGAACTGGACCATGTCCCAGAGTTTTGTTTGCCGACTTCTCTCCCTCCCACATTTTTTTTTCTTTTTTTTGCTGCTCACGTTTCAGAGGCGCCACTGGACTTAGGATCAGTGGAGGAGGAACAGATAGAGAGGAAATAAATGCAGGGAGGAGACACATCACTAGTTTTTCAGAATTGAAAATTACACAGTAGATAATTTGTCGTTGTTTTGGAGCCTCACCAGCTGATTGTTGAAGAGCTTCAATCTGAAAGTGGTCTAACTTTTTTTCCCGATGGATCAGAGTATAACCAGATTTCTCCCCCTCCTCCTCATGGTGGGTGCCATGTTCTCAGCAGCAGTGGGCAACCACACTGGGAGGATCAAGGTGGTCTTTACACCCACCATCTGCAAACTGACCTGCACTGGAGGCAAGTGTCACAACAACTGTGAGCAGGGAAACACCACCACCATCATCAGTGAGAACGGCCACGCTACAGACACACTGACTGCACCCAACTTCAGAGTAGGTGAGTTATCGCACACACACACACACCCACACACGCACGCACACACACACACACACACACACACACACACACACACACACACACACACACACACACACACACTGCTCTCTATGGGTGGTGCTTCTGTCTACCACCCAGTCTGTGATATTAAAGCTGTTGATGGAAAACATATAAACGCCTTGAGCTTTAACTGAACATGATGTGCAGGATTCACAGACAGTGATCTCTATTTAAAATCAGCTGAATAAAAAAAAAATCAATGCTGTTTGTCACTGTGATCTGTGGCAGCTGTTAACTATCTAACATCCTTTAAAACATCAGACCTTCTGTCTGTGGTGTTATCACAGAAAACAATTCATGTAATGTGTGTAAAAAGGAAGGAGTCGGTTATTACCAACTCTGCAGTTGAGCAGATTTCACAACATTGCTTTGCTTTTATGGCCGAAAACGTACCTGTTTTGATTGAGTCTCACTGCTCTCATCTCTGTTAACACACTGTTCACTACCCGTCCATCACCAAACAGCAGACACACACAGTCAGAGAGCAGCGGGTGAACAGGTATTTCTCTCAGGAGCTGGTGGAGACCAAACACAGAACTAAAAGAGAGGGAGTACTGGACTGAGACTCATCTAGTGACACAAATCAGCTGCTGATAATATGGTGACAAGATGTCAATTTTGTATTGGCCAAAGAAACCCCCAACAAAAACAATGACATCAACAAAAAACAGGCACTGATTCAACTTTAGAGGTTGCCGAGTTTTCACCATCTGCAGGTGGTTTGACAAACTGAATTCTAATCTGCTTCAAGAGTTTAGTTTTTATTTAGTTTTTAATTTGATGTGTGGCAGTTACTGTACATGTTACTTTACATTCAACGTGTTGGAGATGTTGGAGATTTTAGGATGCTCTTTTTATTCCTCCGCACCGGCGACCGTCAGTCATTCTCGTTGACACGATATCTCAGTAATGCCTTGAAGGAACTTCTTAAAATTTGGCACAAATATTCACTTGTACTCAAAGATGAACAGATTAGAATTTGGTGGTCAAAGATCAAAGGTCAATGTCATTGTGACCTCACAAAACACTTTTTTGGCCATAACTAACAAATTCATTCACTAATTATGACACGATATAACTCAAATATAACATATAACCTTCATATTAAAAAAAGGTTAAAGGTCAACTTCACTGTGACATCATAATGTTCTGCAAAAAACTTCTGACCATTATTCAATGCTGGAATTTAGGAAGGAGAGATGTGACCATGTTAACTGCAACTTGACTGGTTGGTGGAGGAAACAACCACGAGGAGGGGATTTTAGTTTAACTTGTGACAGGTCTGTTTTGAGGCTACAGGCCTCAGTATGCTTCAAACTAACCAGGCCATATGAGAGTCATGCAACCTCAGATGTTCTGAACAGCCACTCTCAAAGGTGGGGCGAAAAGTCTATAGCTTCCTCCTTGATCTCCCTTTAAGAACTCAGTGTCTAAAAAGTTTGTAGTCTCAACACAATGAATCACCCAAATAGATTTTATGATGCTTGAGAGCTAAAGTCAGACCCTGTCGACCCACTGATTTTAGGGATGTCAAAGTATGGAGTTTGGAAAGTTAAAACATTTGTCAGATGAGTGCTGTTAGAAGATTCACAAGGACTGGGTTTGAAACATACTGAGGCATTTGAATGGACATTAAGATGGGAGGGAAGTTCTCCTCCTACTTCAGGTACAACAGATGATGTATTTGGGCTCACTGAATCATTGTGTTTGGGATCTCTGTTCCTGAACTCTTGTAGACAGAAGTTGTAGGAATTGTTTGAAATAATAAAATTCATTCATCATCTGTTTACTGTAAGACTCTGATGGACTGGTAACTTGTGATCAGACAGTCAGTACAGTACAGTAAAACATGTTTTCCCTGTTTTGGTACCTGCCAATTTATTTTGATCACAGCATCTTTGGAAGTCTAGATGCACTGTCTGAACATTGGGAAGCCACTGTAGCCTGATTAAACTTGGGTAAATGCCCTTGAAGTGAATGTATACAGTAATATAGCTGTGTCAGGATGTCACCTCCTGTGTATTGGAGCTTCTGTGTACTGGGTGTTCTTTAATGTGTTGCACAGACCTGACAAACTGTGTCTGAACCTGCCTCAGCCCTTACAAGGAGCAGATCAGTGTCTCTGGCTCTGACACATGCAGAAACATGGGAAGAGCGGAACAAGATGAATTCCTGTCTGACTCAGCTGAACAAATTAGTATAACTGGAGGTAGACCAGCTCAGAGAGAGAAAACAGCAGGCTGTTAACTCTGGGCGACCCGGAGCGACGCTGCTAGTCTGTTAACTGGAGCTGAGCTGTCGTGATGTCTGGTCAATACATGTCAGTGCTGCTTCTGCATCAACATCAGAGCTGCACCGGCACCTGAGAAGGTGGACACACTCCAGAGTCCACAGTGGACAAAGTAGAACAAAAGGTCATTGAAGGAGACTTTTGATTTTCCATCAGTCATGATACAGAACTGAGTGTTACTGTGTGTTTTTAAGTGTACACTGTGACTCCAGCATTTATTATCACCTATTAACCATCACAGAGGAGCAATCTACCAACCAGTGGACAGGACCACTGCAGTCAAGACCACTGCAGTCAAGACCACTGCAGTCAGGACCACTGCAGTCAAGACCACTGCAGTCAGGACCATTACAGTCAAGACCACTGCAGTCAGGACCACTGCAGTCAAGACCACTGCAGTCAGGACCATTACAGTCAAGACCACTGCAGTCAATACCACTGCAGTCAGGACTATTAAAGTCAAGACCACTGCAGTCAAGACCACTGCAGTCAGGATCACTGCAGTCAAGACCACTGCAGTCAATACCACTGCAGTCAAGACCACTCTAGTCAAGACCATTTCACTCAAGACCACTACAGTCAAGACCACTGCAGTCAATACCACTGCAGTCAAGACCACTGTAGTCAAGACCATTTCACTCAAGACCACTACAGTCAAGACCACTGCAGTCAGGACCATTACAGTCAAGACCACTGCAGTCAGGACCATTACAGTCAAGACCACTGCAGTCAAGACCACTGCAGTCAAGACCACTGCAGTCAAGACCATTTCAGTCAAGACCACTGCAGTCAGGACCACTGCAGTCAAGACCACTGCAGTCAAGACCACTGCAGTCAGGACCATTGCAGTGAAGACCACTGCAGTCAAGACTACTACAGTCAAGACCACTGCAGTCAGGACCACTGCAGTAAAGACCACTGCAGTCAGGACCACTACAGTCAGGACCACCGCAGTCAGGACCACTACAGTCAGGACCACTGCAGTCAAGACTACAATCAGGACCACCGCAGTTAGGACCAGGACTATTGCAGTCAGGATATAGTCAGGACAACTGCAGTCAGGACTGAGTCAGTCAGGACCACGTCAGTCAGGACTACAGTCAGGACCACCACGGACAGGAGCAATATAAATCTACAGGTTGTATCAGTCGGAAAACACAGCAGTGTAACAGATGTTTGTTCTTTTTCAATCAGCTGTTGACACTGTAATTCTCAGAGACAATTGTAGATTCTTCTCATTGCACCTGGATCTGACTGACGGTGTAGAGACAGAGTGTCAGACTCCTGAGCCTGTCCAGACTCGCCTCGCTCCTCCTCTGCCCTCACTCTTTCCTTCTTCCCTGTGATAGGCTGCAGACCTGAGCCAGGGAGCTGGGAGGATGAAAGTTTATTTACAGTCCAGACCAAGCTCAAAGAGCCAAGACAGAATAAAACGCACTCGTCTTGTTTATCACACTTATCACACCTGATGAGAGAGGCGATGAGGGCAGAGTGTTGTTTTATGAATCAGTGGAAGGAAGGGGTGGATGTGTTGAAACTCGCCCACAGTCCATGATGACATGTTGAAAGAGATATCCACAAGATCAGAGTTTACAAAGAGAAGGAAAATATCAACTTGAAGAGCTGTCATTATATGATTTTATTTCTTTTATTGTGGAGCATTTATTAATTATTCAAAAGAATAATTGTATCACAGTGGAGTAAACTTTCTTTTCCACCACATGTACCCTGGTCATGTGTTAGATAGATGCCTCATGTCTTTTCACCAGCCCAGGTCTTCATCCGTCTGTATCCTGAATGATACTGGCTGCATCTTTTATTTCCTTTCTTTTCTCTCACTCTTTCTACAGTTATAGTAAATAATGCTACGTTTAGAAATGTGCTTCTTCTTTTACTGTGTTTTAGTACAACAGATGGATATATATGGCACTTTTTAAATCCACTGCAGTTGTCTGAAAGGTGTAGTTAGTTTTGCTGTGGTACAGCAAGTCTGGTATTTGCTACTGTCCTGTGTCATGCTTCATTTTTGTGAACATGTTAGCATTTAGCTCAAAGCAGCATTGTATAGCCTCACAGACCTGCTAACATGGCTATAGCCTCTTAGCCTGGCTTTATGCTAACACTTGGGAACACAGTGTTTTTTATATTTGTTGACACAGGGAGCATTTGTTTAAATTTGGCAGCCACACATCAACCATGTCCAAGCAACAACTGAGACCAGGAGGGTCGGGTGGCATTCACAACCTATGATCAATAGGGTGTTTGATGACATTATCAACATTAGAGAAACATTGTGTATGAAGAAATAAGAGCTTTTACTGTAAATACTACACTTGGTAAATTATTTGTGCATACATTCCTTCAATAGAATATTATTCCATGGTGCAACTAGTGCAACTGTTACTGCAACCACAGCTATTTTACTGCAAATGCGCAACTGTTACCTGTTCTGCAAAATCCACAACCAGCTGCTGTTACTGCAACACATTTAAACACATTTAAATGTTGTATTAAAGGAGTAATTCTGGATCTTCATCCTGGATCATGTGCATACATTTCTCCTCCTTCCTGTTTTGCTTATTTTTTTCTCAACATATTTTTCAGTCGCGATGTGGTTCGTCTGGCAAACTCTGTAGAAACAAACAAATGTGAGGTGAAAACTACTCAGCCAGTTGCTGATAGTTTGGTGATAACAGAAAATATTCATGGAATTACTCAATTCATTTATGAGGATGATTTTTAAACTGGCCTGATTCAGGCTGTTGTGTGTGTATCCCATTTGGCCGGCTGCAGCCTCTGGAGAGAGGATTTAAGTGGTGTTTTTCCAGCTCTTCTGGCATATTTTCTCCCAGGTGAGCGCAGCAGCTTGCCAAGTGCTGAGAGCTTTCTGGCCTCAGGTCTTGCTTCCTTTATTGAAGACGCCTGCAGCTGCCAGCTCGTTTGTGTCAGTTGCAGTCCAGACGGTTTCAAATCATTTACAGTTGGATTAAATCAAATAGAAATTTGGGGGCGGTTTGGGAGGTGAGTCGAATGTGGAGGGGAAGGTAGGAGGACTTGAGGGAAAAGACAGGTGTAGCACTTTATGTAGCTTAGCTTTCTCCTCACTGTGCCTTTCATTTTATATGCAATAACTCCTGTGTACAGTATATGTGTCGTGTCAGTCACAATCTGAATTTCTTTCAGTTGAGTTTCTCAGAGTGGAGGATTGTGAGGCTGTAGTGAGGACATTAAACACACAGAGGTGGCAGCCCTGAGAGTACACTGTGAATAAAAAGGTGTAAACTTATCCACTGCACCTGGTCACAGACTGTAAATAAAGATGGACGTAGCCTCTGCAGCGTCACCCACAGGTTTCTGAAGAGAGGTTTTGAAGCTCAGAGTGCACTGCTCCACTGTCGCCATCTTGCTAGTGTCTGACTCCTCCCCTAACTCCCAGCTAATCCAAAAATGGACAAAGAGGAGGGGCTTGTGGGGAGCTGAAACTTTGGTGCATGCCAGTTTGTGGCAAGCATACACTCGTCCACCTGTCACTCAAAGAGGCCACGCCCTCAATTGTAGATAACTTTAAGCCTTAATAAAACGTAAACAGGTGAGTTATATAAACAGTTGTCATGAAGGAGGAAATTAGCTCTAGAGACCAAAACTGTTTTTGTACCAGGCTGTAAACATGTTTATTTCTGCTGTAAAGTTGGACATTTTAACATGGGAGTCTATGGGGACTGACTCACTGTTGGAGCCAGACTCTGGTGGCCATTAGAGGAACTGCAGTTTTTGGTTCTTCAGTGTTGGTTTCATGTTTCAGAGGCTGATGCTTTGTAAAAATGCTTGCCACAACAAATATGTACCGAAGTCTCTGCTCCAGGATCCTGGATTTGCTGGGAGTTAGGGGCAAAGTCCGACACTGCCAAGATGGTGAAGGTGGAGCAGCTCACTCTGAGCTTGAAAACTACTCTTCAGAAACCTTTAGGTGACGTCACGGAGAATACGTCCATCTTTATTTACAGACAGACAAACTTACTTTGAGAGTGGATGTCCTGTTTTCTCAGCTGAGTGTAAAAAATAAAGGCTTGACACATAACAGATGTTGCTCAACTGAATGAAGGATTTCTGAGGAATAATTCATGCTGCTGGTGCCTGGATGATTTGCGGGAAGCCCCATGATGATGACTTGATGGTGAGGGGTGGGGGTGTACATGTTTACATCATCAGAGAGAGTTTAGGCCTTTTGGCCACAGAACAGTGAACTCACTGTGGCCCTCTCCTCACTCTTCTTACATCAGCCCCATACTGTCTGCTGGGTTCACACTGTGTGGTTGAAAGAGTGTGCGTGTGAGTGTGTGTGTTTGTGTGTGTGTCTGACACCTGTTGTGCTGTGGTGGGCTGTGGTGTGCTGTGGTGTGTGGGAGCAACATGATTTATGTGAGGGTTAACACCTGGCACACCACCCTCCTCTTCACGTTGGGTGGTTCTCAGCCTCTGTGTCATCCACTAAAACCTTGGAACGTACAGACTGGATTACCACACTTACACCATGGATGTGTGCCAACACATTTACCAGACAAAACATTGGCCATGTGTAGATATCAGCCGTTCTGTCGACAGTCGCTCCATCAAAGCTGGTTTTCTGTTTCATGAAATATAGTTTCAGAGGCTCTGAGTTTCTGAGGAGGAGGAAAGAGGAACTGAACCGATCTTTAGTGCTGCATCCTCATACATGGAGTTATTAAAACTATGTTTTAATTATTGTATAAAACATGTTCAGGATCTCCTTAGCTTTATATGTACACACACACGCACGCACACACACACACACTTTTACATCAGCATGACTGCCTCCTTGCTCTCTCCTCAGTGGTGTGTCACCTCCCATGTATGAATGGAGGCAAGTGCAGCGCCAGGGACAAGTGTCAGTGTCCTCCCAACTTCACTGGGAAGTTCTGCCAGATGCCGGTTCACAGCGGACACCAGCAGCACCAGCAGACGGCGGGCAGCTACAGCCAGACCCAGGTCCACTCCACACACACACTGCCACTGACCTACAGCAATGGCCAGGGAACTGGTGAGTAAAAGGCTTCATACCAGTGGTTCTGTAAAAGGTTCGGTGGCCTGGATAGAAAATGAGGCTGGAAACAGTAAAGCAGTATAACTTTCCTCCTCCTTACTGGAGGCGCGTTTCAGCCCATTTACCTCAAGTCACGCATTATAAAGGCCGCAAGCACGACTGTGAAGATCACAGCTCAGCTCTGGAGGGTGGTCAGGACTCATGTAAAGTGGAGGTAATTAGTGGTAAATGGGCTACAACAGGTATAAACACTGGTAACATAAACCCTGTTTCCTACAATAGAACTGTTCACTGTCCAGTAACTGAACAGAAACTTCGTCATTACATCTTAAAGGATCATTTAAAAGTTACAGGTCACATGTCCCTTTTCATTATATAAACCATCAGAGCATTTCACTCTTTCATTTCATGTCCATGTGTAGTTTGATTATAGATCAGGTCTAGGTTCTATATTAATGCTGTGAAAGTATCAAAGCCTCAGTCCACAGAGAAATGCACACAGCCTGTAGTCAGAAACTGAGCCTTAAAACCAGCCGTCAGGACTTCTGGACCTTTGTGATGTCACAACAAAGCAGTCACTGACTTTTTTTTCTGTATTTCAGAACTGATGAATAACACCACATGGTCTCCAGCTGTGTGTAACACTCCTCATTTGGAACTAACAACATTTGAACTTAATCAGTACCAATTATAACAGACATATCCCTGCATAAGCATGGAAAAAAACTTAAGTGAATGTGATTGAAGTGATTTATAAAAGGTTGCCAGGTTTAGTAAAATTTCTCCTCTTGGTTCATCACTGCCTTTTTTAAAAAAAAAAAGTTTCTGTTTCCTTTATTTGATAGACACAGTGAGGACAGACAGGAAAATCGGGGAAAGAACCAGGGAGTCACTGCTCAGGGTATTTGACCCATGTGGTTTCAGGCTCTTTTTTTGTTTTAACTTTATTAACAACATAGCACCAAGCAGTCATTCTGTCACTGAGCCAGCAGCTACAGGACAGAAAGTCCAAGTTAGTTCCAGACCAGTTTGATTACAGCATCATAACAGAAGTCATTGTCACTGTCACTGTCCTGAGAGTTTCTTTTTGACTCTTCCTAATACACTTTGATAGTGGTGTTGCTGTTGTTGTCCTGTGTGTCTCCAGTGTTCAGCCCCAGCATCGTCAACATCCACATCAAACATCCTCCAGAGGCCTCGGTCCAGGTCCACCAGGTGTCTCAGCTGGACAACTACCACAACAACGGTCACCAGCTGAAAGGTCCCCAGTCTGGCTCTTCCTCGTCCACCAGCTACACCTACCACCACACCGAGAGCAGCCAGAAGATCCAGCACCACGGCTACAACATAGTCTACCCCGGTCAGCACGGCTACCAGGTTCCTCAGTACCAGCCCGTCACCTCCAAGAACACGCTGGGCCGCTGCTTCCAGGAGACCACGGGCAGTCAGGTACCTCTCTGAAAGACCTGCTGTTCATCAGCATGAGTAAATGAAATACAGGCTGAGTCTGAATTCTGCACAATGAAATGAAAACTAGGTTGAGGCTGGTCACATGACTGCCAGTGTCATAGCAACTAATATAAAACAGTCAAGTCCTAAAATGTCTCAGTAAAGTTCAATAAGCAACAATTTTTCTGTTTTAACGTGATGAAGAAACAGTTTCCTTGAAGGAGAGAATAAGGGAAGTACTTTATATGATGTACTGTGAGACTCCACACTCTGCTGCAGTGAACATCAACACAACCAAGACACTCAGTTACACCTGAGTAAAGATCTGTGTGTGAAATCAACCAGAGCTCTAGACAGTGACGCTTTTCAGAATAAGAGACTCATTATAACATGATCACTGCAGTTTCTAGTTTATTGCTTCGGCACAAATTTCGACATCCCATCAGCCTCATCCGTAGCTGTACATTGTGTAGCCTATGTGCTGATTGGCAAATGTTAGCATGCTAAGATGCTAAATTAAGCCTGTGAACATGGTAAACATTGGTTGTGTCCAAAATCACTCAGTCATTCACTCCTCCCTCCTCACTGTCAGGGAGTTCAATGTAAAGGACTGTGTAGTGAGCTCATCAGTAGAATGAAAAACACTTTCAGACACTACTCAGGTCATTTACTCTGCACCCTTTTTCTGTCAGCGCCGGCACCAGTTATTTAATCAGACAGTGTCATTAGAATCTCTTTTTCAAGAGAGACCTGAGAACAAGAAACAGGCACAAGAGACAATCAACAAAGACAACAGAACTCCACAATACAAGAAACTAAGAAGCAAAGAATTAACAAAAACATTTACAGTAGTCATAAAATACAGCAAATAATAGAGATTTAAAATCTCCATGTGAAATGTAAGACTCTAGTTTGAGGGCAGTTTGCAGTGCATTCCATTTAGATGGTGCATAGAACCTGAAACCAGTTCAGCCAACATTAGTGCGAACACGAGGGATATCAAAGCAAAGCAAAGCACATTTCATTCCAGGTGAAAACACAATGTGCTGCACAAAGCATGAATTATCAAGAAAGTTGCCACCACAAAAAGTATGTGGATAGTGTAAAGATAAACTATTAGACATAAATTAAAACAGACACAAAAAATGATAAGTATGAATTAAAACCATTAATAAAATAAAATAATGAAGACCAACATCCAATCAGTAAAAAAAGGTTATATTGGTTGTATTGAGGGTTAAGTAATTAAGTAAGTTAAGTTACTGGATCGAAATGATAGAAAGGATGTGAGGTGGTTCGGAAGCTGTAACAGTAGAGCTTAATAAATATTTTATGTGTGTTCTGCATGTGTCCATCTGATTCACACCCGAGTATACAGAGCAAGCAGAGAGCAGACAAAACATCATTTTATATTAAAATAAAAGTAATAATTCACCCCCTCCCCCAATAACCCCAACAGTGTGGGAAGGCTCTGCCAGGTCTCACCAAGCAGGAGCAGTGCTGTGGGACCATTGGGACGTCCTGGGGTTTCCACAAGTGCCAGAAGTGTCCAAAGAAACCATGTAAGTACCTTTTGTCTTTGTTTTTGTCTTCTAGAAACCTCTTCTGTCTTTCATGTCCTCATCACATCCCTGGGTCCATCGGTAGTTTGGCCTGATGGGCAAATCAGGGGGAGTATGACTGTCTATGTGAAAACAAGTGGTGTAAAGCCTTTAGTGTCTCCAGAGGGAGCGACAGAAAGTCTGATAAACGTCCTCAAGTGATGTCACCTGAGTCAGTGCCTGTTGTTGTGAAGACATAGGTTTGAAGAGTAAAATAATCTGGTGGGTGTGGAGCCAGACAGAACTGATCTGACCAGATCCCCCACTCTGCTCCAGACTACATTAGTGGTCAGGTTGCATTGTGAGGAAAGTAGGCCCCCATGATGACTCCAAATATATTATAGAATGCAGTGGTTGTGTTCTCTTTTAATAATGAAGCATCATCAGTTACTTATCTGATAATAATATAATTAAAAACACAAGCCTGTTGTTTTGTGTCTGTGTTTACATGTGTGTGTTGCTGCCTAACCCTGTAAAACCCAGACATAGAAAAAAATTAGCAAAAAATGTTTTAACCTTCCAGATGTTGTAGGAGGCCTCTGGTGCAGAAATTAAAGTGGGCCATCTGGTCTCAGACCTTTAACAATTATATTTTTAATTTCTATTTTTGCTCAGACTCCTCCGCTCCCTTCCTGAGCCGAACCAGGTCACAATGACCCAGCCAAGGTGTTGTTACTAAACTGAGCGGCTTGGTGTCGTGGGATTATGTTTTTCAAAACTTCGCTCATCCTGGTGCATTTAAGGTATCTCAG